CTCTTGCCTCAGACTTCCAAATAACTGGAACTCCAGGCATATACCACTGTGCCAGGCTTACAGTGTTTGTTTGTTTGTTTATTTATTTATTTATTTATTTATTTATTTATTTATTTTGGTTGGTGGTACCAGGGATTGAACTCAGGACCCTGCACTTGCCAGGCAAGCACTTATTCTATTGAGCTATCTCCCTGGCCCCCTAGCACAGATTACTTACGCTTATACACTAATGACAGCAGTCAACAGTTGACAGCCATCAAAGAATTAGGAGATAAAGGGTTCTAGTTCCATCAAAAATTGTTTCATTTATGAAACAAGAAGCAGAACTAGATTTCTGTGCTTCATTCCTATTTTATGATTCTACATGGTGAAGAAGTAAAAATAGGTAATATCTACTGAGGACTTCTAGGTCATCTCTCTATGAACACCTAAAAAATGAGTACTAGTTCTTATAAAGATTAAGAAGGCTGTGACACATCCACATGGCTGACACTGACAAAGAATCTACAGTCTGAGGTAGAGGGTCTCATGATAAATCCTGAGGAGATTTGACTGACCTTATCAGATCCAAAAGCTACCACTCTTGGTGCATAGGTCTTGCTTTATCTTGGTCTTAACCAGCCAGCAGAAAATTATAAAAACGAAATATAAGAAGTAAAGCCATGTTGTTATGTTGAGCTGTAGGGGACTCAGGTCAACAATTTCTGACATTGCCAGTCAAGTGGAAGACCCAATACTATTATGGGCTACTGGACTCTTTTAGTATATTTTGCTGAGTTAACACACCTATAATATTCAAATGACAGAACTAAACAAAAAAGGGGATACAGATGAATGTCCATTTTGTATCTGTGTATTCAATGTGGTTAGGATAGATATATAGTTATATTTTCTTAATGAATAGAGGGATTTGTTCTAATAGTGTTTGTAAATAGGATATCATGTCCGTATCTTGTACAGCAAATAACCACTAGGAAGAGAGTATGCAATGTGTTAATTATTGAAACTGTCCTACCAATTTGATTTGAAACTGTCTCATTGCTATTTGTTTCTCAATAAAATTATGGGGGAAAAAAAAGAAATTGGAGCACAAAGAAGTATGTTTTGTTTTGTTTTGGCTGGCTCAGGATGCCTTCAGATCAGGTCTGGGAAGGCTTGAGGATCTGGGGATAAAACCACAGCATCCTGATTGCTTTGTTTAAGCAGTCACTTAAACAATGGATCTAATAGGCAGCCCCCCTGGAGCACAAAGATGTGAGTATCCCCCAGCTTATTCCTGAGAGGCAAAACCAAGTCACGTCCAAGTGTGCAGGGACACATCCAGATGCATGCTCTTATGTAATGCTCAATTGCATTTTCATTTTTTTAGGCAGTTCTTGGGATTGAACCCAGGGCCTTACCCATGCTGCTCAAGTACTCTACCACTGAGCTACTGTCCTTATCCCTACTTTCTGAGACAGTGTCTCACTGAACTCCCCACATTGGCCTTAAACTTAGGATCCCTCTGCCTCAGCCTCCTCACGTAGCTGGGATTACACACATTGCTGTGTCTGGCTTCAGTTTTCCCGCTGGTACTGGTGACTGAACCTAGGGCTTTTGCACTGAGTATGGTACTTGTTTGAGGCAGGGTGTAAGTTGCTCAGGCTGGACCTGAATTTGCATTCTTCCTGCTTCAGCCTACCAGAGTGCTGGGATTACAGGCATGCATCACCATCCCTGGATAACCGCTTCTCTCTTGACCCTAAACAAATCTTTGGGTGTTAAGCTCACAAGTGATGCAGTGCAGGTACCACAGCCAGAAGCAAGGAGTTTCCACACAGTGGGCACAGCTGTTTGGATACAGAGGACATCCAGTGGTCTCTAAAGCAGCTTTGAATTGTGGTGGCTCTGGAGCTATCACCTGGGGAGCTTTAGCCAACAGTGCTCCCTGGCTCCCACCCTCTGCTGAGTGAGGTCTTTGTCACTCAGTAACAAAATAGGTTGGAGATGTAGCTCAGTGCAAAGCCCTTGGATTTAATCCCTTAAACCCTTGGGGAAAAAACAAAAATATCAGAGCCAGTGTCTTAATGGTATATGGAGACCCAGAACCTAATTTTGTTTTTTGTGGGCAGAACCAGGGATTGAACTCAGGCTCTTGCATTTGCCAGGGAAGCACTTATCCCACTGAGCCATCTCCCCGGTCCCCCAGAGCCTAATTTAACATCTCTGGACTTTAAAATACAAACTCCTTCCAACTAGAATATGATTAAGCGACATCCACCCCACAGTGACAAGATCTTAACAGAATGCTCAGTTAAATCTACTGGTTAGGGCTAGCCAAATAGCACAGCAGATTAAAGAGTGATCTGTACTGGGCTGGCCCTGCCCCCCCACCCGGGATTCTATGAGATGGCAATTGAGACAGGCTTGGTGGCTTCTGCCTGTAATCCCAGCTCTTGGGAGTCTGTAAACGGGGATCACTACGACTCCCATTTAATAGTGAGACCCTAAACACCCTGTGGACCCTTCCCTAAAATACAAAATAAATAAATCAATCTACGGGTTATTGGTGAATTGACCCTCACCTGCTAGAGTTTATGATAATTAAAGCAGCCTACCCTGACCCACACGCAGTGGGTGATTCTGGGCAGATGTTCTAGAAGGTTAAATGGTGGGAAGTTTTCTCTGACCTCTGCCAACATGGGCCTGCTTCCATGCCCTCGCGCAGGCAGCACAGCTAGGTGGAACAGACCAAGGGCCAAGAAGACAGGCATTTGCTGGCTGCTGTGAAACCACACCCAACTCCCTGACTCCAGCTTAATCATTCGCTATTACCTGGTCAGTTTGCACTTTGTGACACCAGGCCCACCCTCACGCTGGACCCATTTTCTTGCTTTACTTTGTTTCACAGTTCATCTGTCTGTTGGCGATTAGGCCATGCAGCCCTATATGACTTTCCTCCGATAACATGTGCTAGATTACATCATCTCTGTGGAAAGCTCCCCCACATTCTACTAGCAGGAGGAAATGCCTTCCCTGGGCTGGTGAAACCTGTTCCTCAAGGTGCAAGAGAAGGAAAGAGCACACTACACTTGTTACCTACCTGCAGGCCCTGCAGGAAAAAAAGATGCCTACTGGATTCACAATAGCCCCTTTTTTGAAATCATTCTTAAGTTTTTTCACATTTTTTAATCTCACCTTCCCCCCAGTGCAAGTGGTTGGATCTAATCCTTTTGGTCTTGAGGCACTGCCTTTAATCATTCCCTTTAAGCAACCCCAACTCGCCAAATGTCCACGTGTTTTCTTGACCCTGAGGATGGACTTACCTGGAATCCCGCCACCTACACTGTAGGTCCTACAGCATTTTGCTTTTTCTCCTTTAAAACTAAGGAGTCTCTCAATCCATTTGTCCTCCCCCGATGTCCTTTTGTGACTTTTTTTTTCATAATTTTATTGAGAAACAAATAACAATGAGACAGTTTCAAACCAAATTGGTAGGACTGTTTCAATAATTAACACATTGCATACATTGTGTCTTGTACCAGGGATCAAACTCAGGACCTTGTGCTTGCCAAGCAAGCACTTAATTCACTGAGCTAGCTCCCTGGCCCGTGACTTTGTGTCTTGGTAACATGGTTTCATTTCGAGTAGAAGCCTTGGTCTTATCCTTATTCCCGTTTTAGACAACTGAAAGCATTTCCCATCTCTCCCCTCCCACAACTCTAGAATATTCTCAGCCACAGAGGCAGACAAACCACAACTGTGGGTGACCCACTATGAGGCTTTGGGGAAAGTCATTTAAACTAATAAGTATCAATATTTCCAACATTCCCTCTGCTACAGACAGAGGCTATAATACCATTTCCTGTCTTTTTTTTTTTTTTTTTGGGACAGGGAAAAGGGGGGGTAGAGCCACAGGAGTCACAGAAAGCACTGCCCTGACCTTGAGTTGTGTCATTTATGCCACAGCCCAGTGTCATTTATGCCACAGCTACTAACAGAAATGGTTATGGTGACTATGCATTATTGTAGTGATTTATCTGGGTGAAATCAGAGTGGACATGTAAACAGGTGAAAAAGGGTTGAAACCCACTGGCTCAAACATTTCTTTGGGTGATAACACCTGTTTTCAAAGCACCAAGAAGGCCAAGACTTATTACCAAGTACAGTGGAAACTATTACCCAGTATGCTTTCCAGACAGCATATTCTAGATTGGAAATTTATCCAGGCCAGGTCAAGTTATATTGTCTGAGCATCACACGTTTTATTTTCTCAGCAAGTTGTGATAACCCAGCTAGAGAAGTTTCCTGCGACTGCTTAAATCTAAATGAAATGCTTTGCTGGAGCAAGTCCTTTCTGACTGGATGGTTCTGTCAGATCAGCCCTGCTCTGACCCCCAGCATGTATTCTAAGACGGAAGAGACTCAGTCATTAATATTTTTCATGGCACGGCACTCTCGGTAAATAGTACTCTATCCTCCACTGGCATAAGGCTTTAAACAGAAGAATCAATGCAAACAGACAACTTTTAATTTGTGTGGTTTTGTGGTGTTGGAGAGTGAACTCACAGTCTTGTGCTCCCTAGGCAAGCACTCAACCATTGAGCTGCCTCCCCAACCTTTGTCAGTATCCTGAATAGACCACCTATAAGATCATTTGCTGTTCTTACAAAAAAGGAATTTTTTTTTTTTTTTTTTTTTGTGGAACTGGGGATTGAACTCAGGCCCTTGTGCTTACCAGGGAAGCGCTTATTCCACTGAGCCATCCCCCCGGACCCCAAAAAGGAATTTTTTAAAAAAGCATCAACAAAACAACAGATTCAAAAGAGGATCACATTCACATTGTGTTCCTCTGGGTACTTGGATCTTTGGCTGATCCAAGACTATAGGGGACACAGAAGATAAAAATATTGAAAACTTTTGTTTCACTTGATGAAATGAAAAGAAATACAACTCAGGTGGTCACTTAAAATTTTAGGGTTTGTTCCACATATAGCAATGCTAAGTGTTACTAAGCAATGAACGCTTTCATAAAAAATTTATTTCACACTTTTATACAAATATCCACAGGTATTTTCTAATCATGAAATAATTTTACAATGCTAGTTAGTATAAAAATGTATCAAATGCAAACAGACCAGTGACTTGACTTGAGATGACATTTTTAACAAGTATAAATTTAAATACCATAACATTCTTGTTTCTTTGTTGTTAAAACTATCCCCCCATCCCCTCTTTTCAGGACATTCATTTTTAACAAAGGTCTACACTGTCAAAATATCAGCTTCTTAAGTGTCCTATAATGAAGCCAGGGTGTTAGGCTCCGATTTACTCAAGGAAGAAACTGAGACTTTAAACACTGGTATGACCTGTTCTAAAGAAATTTTTGTAAACAAAATGCCATTTGCAAAATTATTTTTGTGAGTCAAACTTCTAATGTACAACCAGAATGAAGTTCTCAGTATTCTAAGGGTGTAATATTTGTGAAAAGAAAAAAAATTTAAACTCCAAGGCAACAATGGCACATACAGCTGTCTTGTTCTTTTAAAAGATTGATACACTGCTCATACTACAACCAAATTAGCACCTGTTTGCTGTTGCTCCCCAAATAACTTAATATATTAAAGCACAGGAAGTTACGAAATTCAGCTTTCCTATCTATTCCACCTCTACTGAATATACAGAGTGCCAACTGTCTTCTTTCTCCCATCCACATAAATTTACAATTAAACAATGTTACAGATCTTGTGAAAGTAGTCCCCAAAGTCACTGGGGGAATATGGATAGGGGAAAAAACAAAATAAACACAGAACATTGGCTCGCTGATTGAATGACTCCCCTGGCATCTAAAAGCGAAGCGCTACGATTGTTCTGCCTGACCAGAATCACGGTTTCGGTAACAGTCATTCAGTAGTCTCATACTAGATGGGTCTGGACCCACCCTCGGTTCTCACCAGCTTCTTTCTAGCCCTGAATATACAATATATTTGCAACAGTGAGTAAACACATCCTAGAGTTCAAGAAATAGTCATTTTCTCCAAAAGTTCCTGACAGTTAGAACATGAAATTCAGAAATTTCACACAGGTTTCTAAACTAAAAGGTTATCAGATGTCCGGTAAGAATGAAACACAGCGAAATCCTCTTTCCTAAACCTTTTGGGTGGTGGGGAGGGGACACCATGAAGGAGATGTTATAAATTACAGATAAGTTATTAAAACAACTCTGGGATACATTTACAAAGAATTATTATCTTTTGGCAGCAAGTAATTTAGGTCAAACTATTGACCTCCCATGTGCTAATTCTGATTGCTTAAACCAGCGGGAAGGATCTTTGGCCTGTTAGTCAATAACAAAATGGTTTGAAGAAAAAATAAATATCATATACAAACAAATATAATTAGCATTCAAGTCTGCTGCACCTGTGTGTTTTAGTGAAAAGGAGGAGACCTGTGTGCCTTCGGCATGTGCGCGGATTCACACAGGTAGGAAACGAGGAAGAGGGCAGGATGGCCGTGTCACCTATTGCACATTTAATAGGTCAGCACTTTAGACTGAGACAGGACTACCCCGACAGCAGAGTCCTGTGCTGCAGCGTGGTTAATCTGTGTGTTCTCCAGCCCTACGGGAAAGAGGCTTGCAGCAGCAGTCGGGCGGCCGCTCGCATTAGTGTGGATGATTGCGGTGCCCTCCCTCCTCCAGCCACACTGCCAGGAGAAGACCACCTGGTACAACAGGCAGGCCTTTCCCCAGCTCATGTAGTCAGCCACACCAAAAACAAAGGCAACCCAGAAAGTTAAATTAAGGCAGTTAAAGAAAAATCCGCTCCAATAGTCTTCATTTTTTTTTTTTTTTTTCTTTTTTGTTTGTGGTAACAGGGATCGATGTGACGACCCTAGACTTGACAGGTAGGCACTTATGACCCTGAGCTATTTCCCCGGCCCCCTCCAATAGTCTTCAATTTGGCTGTGCAAAACAGGAGCCGCCTTCGGCTGCGTAACAATATCCACAGTTTCAAAGGTAACTTCGGACTGTGTGTCATTGCTCTGAAATCAATCTTCAGATATTGAACAGGCTTATCAATCCTTTTGAATGTCTGAGTTGGAGTGGTGGTAGAGGCATTTTGGGTACTGTGAAGCTTTTATGACCCCCCTAGGAGTAACTTTCATTTTCATTCCATTTTGTGATCCACTGTTTTTTTTCGGAGTTATCATTATATTTTTCGTCTTTGATCTCTCGTTCTTCTTTCCGGATCCTTACAGCATAGTATCGGGGAACGCTATCATCGTACCTAGATCGCTTAAAGAATCCACACTAGAAAGGGGGAAGAGAGAAGCAGACAGGAGTTAATTCTTTTTAAGGAAACCAAGTGCATCATATGAAATGTCTAAGCTCTCTGTTCAGCTACCTTTGGACCAAGGGAAAAGAGACACCATCTTAAGAAAGCAGTAACAGGTTGGAAAGAACAGCCAGGAGGAATGTTAGAGAACAGCTGTAAAATTGGAGGAAAAGTCCATTTTCACCTTGTCTTTACATTTTATAACAATGTAGACTACCTTTTTACGGGCAAGAATCTGTAAATACTTCCACTTAAAGAAAAATCACAGTATTATATATAAAAGGTATAATTTTCAGATTATAGGAGATCACTTTCTGAA